GTCCCTGGCGGCCAGTGGGTTGAGAGATTTCATGTTTGTCTCGTCTTCTGATCCTGTTCTGATCCCTCTCTGCGGAGCCCTCAGGGTTTTGGCTTGGAACGCAGGGAGGGTCGGTTTTATTCCCGTAAGCCTGGCTCCTAGGAGGAGACATGTTTAAAGTCATGTGTTGTGCGATTCAGCTTACCAAAAGATTATGAATATATTAAATAACTAGAACTGAAAGTTAGTTAATTAATAGGTCATTCAAATCAAGGGTAAAGCTAGTTATTTATTATCAGTCCAATGATTATAACTGTAATTTGCTTATTGACCAGGGTTTTAGCCCTTTTCCTAAAAGGGTTAGACTCCTGAATAAGGCTGTTAAAAATCCAGTTGTCCTTCATCATTTTAGTACTTTAGGCTATGGTTCTTGGCAATATTATTAATCACCAACCAAATTAATGTGTCTCTGTTCATTTGGTTGCTACTGAAAGAAAAGTAAATCCAGCCTGAGTGATAAATCGTTCACTGTGTAAAATTGACACAAAAGACCACGAGTTAAAAATACCACGGTACCTTTATTAGCTACAATCTCATAGTATTATATCTAATAACTAAGCAAAACACTAAACACAAAAATCAAAGAGTAAAAGTGTCCGTTCATAGTACGTGATGTTCGAAGTTTAAGGCTTAATGCATTTGACAGTGTCCTTTATAATAGCAGCAGATAAAATGTGAATAAACCCTGACAAAGAGAGATGTTAACTGCTGTCAAAACAGTGAATTTTCGTTCAGTTTATAGTGAAAAATGAATAATGACTTAGGAATGCATTAAACCAGTGGTTCCCAAAGTGTGGGGCGGGGGCGCAATGCCATTGCAGGGGGGGCGCGGGAAGCGGTATGGATGAATGAAGAAAAACAAACAAAAAAAAAAAAAAAAAAACAGCGCTTGCTTGACTGAGCATAATGGACAGTTGTGACACTGCAACCCAGATTTGAGAAGATCTACAGCAAAAAGCAGGCTCACTACAGCCACTGAAAAGATGGGAGGATTAAAGTACAAAGAAAAAACTCTCAGGGAGCTGTTAAATGTTTTCACTCCATTTTGCACAGAGGCTTTTTTAATGTATAGATTATAGCAAAGTTAAATATTGTTACAAATAAAAAAAAAGAAATATGTTTAAAATAACACAGACAACAAAGAATCCTCTTCTAATCTACATTATAGAACTATGAAAAAAATACAGTTACACAAAAGTGTTCCACTGTAAAGATGGTGTAGTTTGTTTTGTTGCAACCTGAAGTGTGAAATAAACTTCAGTGGAGTTTGAAAACAAAATATGTGTATAGATTTATTATATCTGAACGATGTGTGTGCCCAGTTGATTCTTTTTTTTGTTTTTTTGTTTTGTTTTTTGGGGTCGGGGGGCTGGGGGGGGCGTGGAAATTTTATTGTAATCCAAAGGGGGGCCCAGAAGAAAATCTTTGGGAACCACTGCATTAAACTATGATGAGGCAGAAAGACCCTTTTGCTTACTGGCCCCAGGGGATCTGGTTCCGGTCGGGTCCAACTGAAACAAAGAGAGTTAGTTCATGATGTAGCAGTAAGCTTCAGCAACACGTGACTTATTCAGTTCGGTGGTAGTGAGCGTTAGCATTCAGTTAAACCTTTAACCATCAGCAGTTGAATCAGAAAGCTTATTTCAAGGAAAACCATCAACACGGCTATCTATTCTACCTGTAGCTCACCCAAGCAGAGCACTTATTAAGCATCAGATGGAAAGGAGGGGGAAAAAATGCAGTTACTGTTTGTTCCGTGGACGGAAGGCCTTCAGCTCTGTCCAGTTCTTAGTGGGCACGTCTTCGGTCCAGTCCGTCTGTCCAACAGCAACTCAAAGAGATTTGGATGCAGCAATAAGAGGCGATTTACAAGGGGGTTAATCTTATAACTCATGGTAGCACTCGTCTCCCTTTTAGCTATGGTGGTTAGCACGCAGCCACAACTGCGCCTCCATAGCGCTGCTCCATCCCACAGGCGGTCAGGGTCCTGCCGCTTCTAGCGGCTTCTTCAGGGAACAGTGATCTCTTGTTCGACGGTTAAAAGAGTGGGATTAGCTCTGCTGCAGCAGGATTCAGGATACATACGGAAAAATTTAAATGCTGCGTCCAGCTCCTTCTGAATCGCAGGAAAAAGGAGGTCTTAATTGGTCCAGCGAGCTCAGACTTCTCTGAAGGTCTTTTGGTTTCTACGTAGCGTAGCCTTCAGCTGGAAGCACTTTGCCTAGCCTTTGACCAGCACAAACCCACCAGCTAAATAGGACGCTAATATGGGGAGCTAGTGTTTTTAAAATCTACGCTGGAGGGGTTTGTTTTCAGAGCAGTGTAGTTCCGGTTACATCAGCGAGAGTGGATCGTAACTAAACAATATAAAAGACATGTAATACTGATTAACATATTAAATAATCAGTGATTATGAAAAGGACTACCTATCATATTGTCTACCTATCCTTTTGATGTGTGGGGTGAGATAAGTGAGTCAAGACACAACTGTGATATATGTATGTAGGTTTAATGTTTATGATAAATAAACAATGATGCAAATTAGATTTTTAAGAACCTTATATTTTCCATGTGACGATGCCTCTGCATATGAAAGGAACATGGTTTTAAAGCAGGTTTAAAAAAATAATATAATCTCTGAAATTAAATCAAACAAGAAAGAAACTTCAGATTTTCTTTTTAAAAAATAACAGTGAACCAGCAGGTGATGTCAGGATATCAATGAGAAAGTAAAGAGAGAAAAGAAACCAAGTCAGTAAGTGATACAGGAAGATGATGTTGGGAGATTCATTACTTTAGAGCTGCTTCTTGTTGACAGCAAGTAATATCTGCAAACATGTTTATTGAAAAGAGATTCTACAGGAAAACTGTTGCAGAAAAAACAGCCTCACAGCTGTACATGTTATTAAAGGCAAATAACTTCCATGATAAAAGCAGTTTTTCTTCCTGTTTTGCTGCAATTATTCAAATATTTTTTTCCACCGAACCACAGAGGCTGTTTTTTAAACATATATAGATCTTTTATTTGTGTGAAACATGGTACTTCACTGTTTTGAATATTTAAATCATGAAATGTTCAAATTTAGCTACTGGTCAGACAAATTGATACCAACAGTTTACCTGGAACAGTTTCAGCAGAGGATCAAGGAAAGAACATCCCATTTATTGAGGAAGAACAGAAGTAGAGGTAAGTTTTGAGCTCAATCTAGGTTCTTGGGTTTAACCTTTTTTTTAAATATGCTTAATTTTTACTTTTAAGGTTAACACAACTTTTTTTTAAATCATTTATAAGTTTCAGTTTTTACTGTCTGCTAGGTTTCCTGTTTGACTTCGGCTCTTCTGCTCTTCCGGCAGTGTTTCTCTCTACAGTCGAGGGATTTTGCAAGTTTTCAATTTTGATTTCAAGTTGTTGAATTTCATTTTCCTACAACAGAGGAACAGTTTTTGAAGAACATAAATCATCTGAGAGCAGAGATGCAGTGGAATCTGATTCTGTTCTTCTTGATGGGTAAGTTAATCCAAAGCAAAATCTGCTCACCGGTTACATTACAGAATGATTAAATACTGATATAGCTCCTTATCCAGTCAGAGGCTTCCAAAATACTTCATAATTAGTCATTCACATGCTGATGGTGTTAAGCTGCACTGTAACCACAGCTGCTCTGAGGCAGCCAGAAGCAAGGCCACTGGATTAGCATGGCAAGCAGAAAAGGTGGATGTTTTGATCAATGACACAATGACTGGACAGAGCAGAGAGTTGAACCAGCAACCCACCAGTTACAGAGCAAACTGCCCTTAGCATGAAAAGAAAAACAGACCAAGATTTACTAAAAATGCTTTTGGACTTGTTGTTATTTATTTAGAAACAAAGCAACATGTTTTATACTTTCAGGTCAGAGTTGTTTCATCAACTGTCATCTCTATGAGTATCACTATATTAATGAGGAAAAGACCTGGACTGAAGCTCAGCAGTACTGCAGAGAGAAACACACTGACCTGGCCACAGTGACTAACATGACAGACATGAAGAGACTCCTCAATGACACATCAGGAAACATGACAGAAGCTTGGATTGGTCTGTATGATCAGACAGATGGTATCAGAACATGGTACTGGTCTCTGCATGGAGTGGAGTTTAATGAAAGTGAGACAAAATGGCACCCAGGAGAACCAAGTGATGTCAATAATGGAGATGAGAACTGTGGGCATTTGAATAAGAATCTTAACTGGACAGATACTCAGTGCCATCATGAAAGACCTTTCCTCTGTTATGATGGTGGGAAACGATTTTACTGTAGTTTTAATGTCTTATCATGTAAAGTCAATGCAATGTGAGTTTTTTCTGTTTACTCTACAGAAACTAATAAAACCCAGAAATACCACTTGATTAGTGAGAAGAAGACCTGGCAGGAAGCTCAGAGTTACTGCAGAGAGAATCACACAGACCTGATCAGTGGAATGAAGCAGCTACAGGATGGAGAACTGAAGGAAGTGATGAAGTCTGTGGTAGATGGGACATACATATATTTTGGTCTGTTCAGAGACACCTGGAGGTGGTCAGATGAAAGCAGTTTCTCTTTCAGACACTGGAATAAATGGGTAAACAATGAGGGAACCAACAGTGTCCGATGTGCCGTGGCTGTGTTAGATGATAAAGGCAGATGGAAGACTGACAGCTGTGATCAGAAAAAACCATTCATCTGTTATGATGGTGAGCTGTTTTCATAAAACAGAATTTTTTTTTTAATCAATGTCCTATGTATGATTGTGCTGTTAATATATTTTAAAAGGATTTAACGATTCACCGTTTGGACATTTATATCATAATCATCCAATTCCATTGAATTATTTTAAAAATGTGTAACTTGAAAAACCACAGTTTTAAAACATTCGGTCGTTGCCTCTGAATAATGATATAGTTAGTGACATATTATTTATCTTATCCATCACCTCTATGCCAGATAAAGTGATCCTGGTCAAAGAAAATAAAACCTGGGAGGATGCCTTATACTACTGCAGAGATCACTTCCATGACCTGGTCACCATCACCAGCCTGGATGAGCAGAGATGGATCCAGGAGAAAGCCAAGAACGCCTCGACTGATTATGTCTGGATGGGACTCCACTACGCCTGCACTCTGGATTTGTGGTTCTGGGTCAGTGATGAGGTGGTCAGGTATAAGAACTGGGCCTCAGGGGAACCAGTGGATGACTGTGACATGTCTGGAGCCATGGAGACACGAGGAGGACATAAGTGGAGGAAAATAAATGATCTAGAGAAGTTTAACTTCATCTGTTCTAAGGAATAACACTGATTGTTTTATAGATTATTTGTGTTGCTTTATTCTGTGATACTGAGGATTTTGTGCAAAAATAATTTTCAGTTAAAAAGCATAAGCAATTTAATGATTAGTATAGAGATTATACTTTCAGCAAACTACAGCTCTTGCTTTAAAGCTGTTATAAATTATCCTTTTTTCTGGTTTCTTTCTATGAAACATCTGCTTCTCTAAATAGAAAATGTTTTACTTTTCCTTTATTTTGATCAGGTTATTGTTATATATTTATTGGCTGACTGTAAATAGGGGGCGCTAGTGTGCAGTTACTTCAGGAATACAGAAAGAATAATATAAATACAGTAAACATCAAATAAATTAATAAAAAGTAATCACACCTTTTCACTCATTAAATGTGTCTGACTCTTGATTTTTTAGTGTTCTCATTCCTTTTTGGGTTTATTGGGAGTCTACTTTTTTTTTTCCTGGAGGCCTAATAACAGATTTTTCAAAGGTGTGCGTACTGTCAGTTGTTATTCCCTGTTAACACGAAGCCTGGGCTTGGATTTTTCCACACATTTCTTGGTTAAAATTATAGGTGTATCAAATATTAGAAACAAAACATTTTATTTGTTTATAATCGCAGATATTAAATATTTCATGCATTTCTAGACGATGTTTGCTCCCATTGCTGCAGGGATTATGGACCACTCCTCCATACAGATGTTCAGATCCTTCAGGTTTCAGGGCTGCTACTGGGCTACATGGACCTTCAGCTCCCTCCAAAGATGTTTTGATTGGGTTCAGGTCTGCAGACTGGCTAGGCCACTTCAGGAGCTGGAGCTGCTTCTTATGAAGCCACTGCTTAATCTTTTCTTTATTTGGATCCCATTAGCTCCCACAAGGTGGTTATAGCCTTCCTGGGTTCCTAGAAAAAAAAAATATATATATATCTAAATAACATAATAATATAAATAAATAACAACAATTAACAAAAAAAAGAAAGAAAAGTATTTGCATCGGAGAACAAACAAACAAAAAAAAAAAATACAAAAGACTTTAAAAAGGAGGGAGGAGAGTACAGAGTAATTTTTTCAGTAACCTCACTAAGCAACCTTTGGTTTTTCTTTGGTTAAAGAATTTTTTTTCTTTTTGTCCCTGAGATGTGATGGAAAACTATTCCCTGAATCTGGGCCGCTATTAAAATCAGTTCTTCTCATAGAAACTGAATTGTGCCTGAGGACCACAGGAGAATCTGAACTCACTGGGTGAGAAACACTGTGACACAGTGGTGACAAAACTTATTAGAACTGTTTTTACATAGAAAAACAGAACTGTGTGCATAAACATTTAAGGGATGCCTGTAGATTTTCCTTTATCTTTAACTGAGGCAGTTACAGTACTTCTAATTTTTAGAGAAAGTTAATTTCTACCTGATCTATTCTGAGCTCTGAAGTTGCCATAAATGCTTCTGTGCAGCATTGGAACACAGAACTGGACAAAGATGAAGACGACGCAGCGCAATGTTCTGAACAACCATCTTTTAGGACAGAAGTTGAACAATAAGCAGATTATCTGTACCTCTGCCCATCATTCTAATATTATGGTTCATTTGGTTTGCTCCAATCTAAAGCCCAACAGCTTAACCTTAGAGACCTGCTGCACTAGTGCTCCCTCTAGTGACAGATGGAGATCATTGGTACATGACTGAACTCACTGATTAAATACATTTGTCTTCAAAACACATTTTAAAAACATGAGTTTAGTTCCAATTTTTTCATTTTCCTCCACTTTACTGTCAGATATCTTCCTCCTGTAGATTAGTGCTCTGATCAGAAAATTATGTGTATGACAAAAAATAAAATAAAAAATACAAAAAGCAAACATCATAAATGACCCCTCACACCCCCACCAAGGACTGTTCTCCCTGCTGCCCTCTGGGAAGAAGCTTCAAAGTATCCGATGCAGATCCAGGAGATTCCATAACAGTTTGTTCCCCACTGCCATTAGAATGCGGAATGTGTGTAAAATTGGTAATTTTATTTATATAAAAGAAAAAAAATATTTGTTAGAATCATATGTTTATATTACTATTTTTATGTATTTATTACTTTTTTTAAGGCTGCACTTTAAAATAAGAAATTGTTTAGAACTGTTTTAAACTACATTTCTTTTTGTATACACTCAGACATACAGAAAGGTAAGATGTCATTCATTCTGAGCACTCTTTCAGAGGAGGGTTTTTCTAGTTAATGCAAAGATCAATGACAGCAAAAGCTGTTCTGAAATCCAGCAACACACCTCACTGATTGTTTTTTCTTTTATATTTTTGTTTTTATATCCATTAACTGGTGATCTTTCATTTCTGTAGAGCATTGTTAGTAACCCTGAACCCTGTGGAACTCTTTTAAGGATTGAATTTTCTTTAATACATTTGATAATTTCATTGAATTGTTTTTACTAATAATTCACTAAGCACAGGGAGTTAACCAGTGTACAGTTAGTGCCAGTTAAGATTACATTTCTAACTTTAGGTAGCGTAATAGTTTTAGAGAGATGATTCCCCTAACAATAGAACAATTTTAAAAAACAGCATATTGGCAGCCATTTTAATCATCCTTCAAGGTCATCAATACCAGATAAAGCATCCTTAGAAAAACCTTGTAGTTTATCTTTAACAGTCTTTTATCCACAATATCCAGATTAACCTCTTAAAACCTTAAATGGGGGTAATAACTCAGAATGCATAAAATTCTACTGGTAAAATTTTTACCAGCAGATGGAGCCATTGCGCGCAGCTCCAAGCTGACACCAAAAGTTCCAATCCCCAACTATTAAAGCTAGAGGTCTGAAATGTTCTGCATTTGTGGTTGACATGATGTAGAACAAATATAATACAATAAAACATGCTTTTTTTCTCAAGAATGTCTTTATTACTGCTGTTCAAAAAAGACCTATCATTTCGAGATTAAAAAAAACAACTTTGATAAATGCTTGAACTGATGCAGGTTGGTCTGTTTTCTAGTCTCCCAATCCTAATTTATATGTTCAGAAACTGGATGGTGTTATGCTATCAAATAATGTATTGCACACATAATTTGGGTTTACAGTTCCTAAGTTATTTGCTTTTTCATTTGGGTATGCAAAATAGGAGAGGATTACCCAAAATGAGGTGGAGGTTAAGAGGTTAAAGCAGCAAATGTTTCCATCCATTAAATCAGTGATCATTTTACAACAATTTTCCTTTACGTTTGTCTGAAGTCCCAGACCTTTGACCTTGTTGATGAAAAATATGTTAAAATAATTTCTTTTTTCAATTTGGTTTAATTTTGTTATTTGGTTCCTCACTTTACAATAGACTTTTCTATTCTTATCTCTCAGAAGCATGAAGGATCTGAGCTCACCACTAAACCATAGTGAACTGTTTATCCTGACATTTTGGTGATTGCAGTGCTGCAGTTCTTGAACTCCTCATTGCTGTAGCTCAGGGTAAGCTCTGTTTTAATTGCAGGTTAGCCTTCAACTGTGGTATCCAATGCTGAATAACACAACAAGGTAAAATAATATTCAGAAAACAATAAGTATTTTATTCTTTTATGATCTCATGCATCAACTGTCTTTTTTTTTCTTTTCATTTTCTTCCTCCCTAAAACACAAAAGCCCCCAATCCAATAAATGTTGCACAAAATATTATTAGGTGGATAAATGACACTTTCTCAAATGTTTAGAATATCCACTTACATTAATAACCATTAACATTGTCCAGTTTAGGGAATGCAAAATTAATTCAATTCAGCTTTTTTATATAGCGCCAATTCACAACACATGTCATCTCAAGGTACTTTACAGTCTTTACAGTCTTAAAGAGATGCAGATTTATTTTAGGATCCAAGAGACTGAAAACAATAAAAAGAATGCTCTGATGAATGTGTGGAGCTGATCTGGTCTAAAATACCAGGGCTGATTTTCTTTCCTAGTCTGGCCCTGGAAGCAAAACACAAATTTCTATAAGTAGTTCAGAGTTAAAAGTGCTTCTGTTGTGGATCTTTGATGGAAACTTTACCTTTAAGCTAACGCCCCCCAAAATAATTGCATCATGCTCATATTAGCTTGGGAAACTGGATTTAAATAACTCATGATAGCATCGTTTCTACTGTTAAGAAGATTTTAGCGTTGAACAGTAAGCTACTGAGCAAAGACAGTGTAGACAGTGCGGGCGGTTATAGTTTTTCTTCCTTTAAACTGTGTCTGGATGCATCTCAATAATGGAGGCAAAAATAAAAAAGGTTGAGTAAATCCTCTGTATGGTTTCTTCTTTGTTAAAACACATTGGGCCGGATCTATCAAAGGTTTGCGTGTATTAAAACGTGAGCTATTTCACTGCGCACGCTAAAAAATGTACAAACTGATCTATCAACAGCTTGCTAAAAGGATTTGGTCTTTAAAACGTGCTAAATAGCGCCTCTTATCCATTTAGTACTTTTTCTGCAATGAATATTCAATATTGGGCGTTTACACGCAAAAGTGCATCTTGTGGGAGGAGAACATGTAAATATATTAATTTAGCGCTCGCAAAGTGATTTACCTGAAAGCAATTTTGCTGACGGTCATCAAAACATATCGTTTATCCAGCATTGCCATTTTGGAGCTGTTGGGGGAACTCCGAATGGATTTGGAGCCAGCCACAAGGAGGACCCACGCAATACCAGATATCACAAAACTCCTTGCAACATTGCGCTTTTTTGCATCTGGGTCATTCAAGCGTACGGTTGCAGCGAGAGCTGGGATCTCCCAATCTAGTTTTTCAAAAGTGCTGTCCGACGTTCTAAATGCCATGTCGCCCTGACGCCCTACCGGAGAACCCCGACCTCCCGCCTCGCGCCTGTGGAGCAACATGCCAATGCTGCGGGGATGCATACGCGCAGTCATCTTATCAACAGTCACTTCTTGTGAGCCATTTGGTATGTGCATTTTTCTACAGGCCAATACAAAACACCTGTTTTTTTTTTTTTTTTTTTTTTGTTTTTTTTTACTGCGGTGAAGTAGAAATTCAGCCACATACCACCTTAGGGAATAAAGGTTGCCAAAGTTTA